AGGCTTTCTTCAAAAGATGAACGTAAGACATAACAGCATTTTGTACTCTCGCGATACTTCAATGAGCCCTATACTTTTGCGGTTAAGAACATCGCAAAACATCGAGGAGGGGGGGAAGGGGTACAGATATAGTTCTCTCGATTCATTACAACGACTTGTAGCCCTCTGAATGCAGAAATGAGAGCAATGAATTTGTCTTGAAAGTTGGTTATGAGTCCTTATTTCATTGAGGAATTGGTTGAAGAATTAGGCTATTTTAAAAAACGCTAAGGTTTGCCTAAGCATACGTTGCATATGAGTGTGTGACCGTTAGAGCTTTAATCATGTCGCAAAAAAGTAGAATGAGTGGTTTTGAGCTGTGACCTGTTTTTTTCGTCAGAGTATTTATCCAGAGCTTCTAAACATATCCTGTACTGACAGGAAGTGCTTTTTTGTTCCGTAAGCTATTCCATTTATGGAATGAAGAGCATGAGTTTCATTGCGGAATCGACTCGCGCACAGCGGTGTTGTTTCTTATCAAATCCGCTGGTGGACCAGGCTTAACTGTGCGATCATGTCGGTTGTGATTACAGCTTCAGTATTTATTCTGATGAATAGTGTAGACTAAGTCTACCAAACTGAGGTCCTTCAAAGGTAATCTTGAATCAGAGACTCCTCTATTTCCAATGACTGCCGATTTTTGTGTGAAAAGCTCGTCTAAAACCTGTTATTTCAGATCGTGCCTTTCACCCTCTTCAGCTTGCTATGGGGCTAAACTGCTTTAAAACAATTCGACACTCGACTCTGGTCATTTGTAGGCCACTATTATCAATGAATAGTTTAGCTAGTTGTTATGCTTGTTTCATTTTAATTGTTGTTATTATGTTCTGAACCTCTCGAAAGCGATAACTTTGAAACCATAAATCGATGCAGTGTGCTAGTGTAATGTGGGAGCTTTGGAATGCGCATTTTTCAAAGTGAGATCAAAACCTTTTACTTGACTTATTGCAATGTTTGGACCAAAAACTGAGTCTTATCGTAGCATAGCAAGGAAGGAATTGACTCACAGTTGAGTGGAATCGGTGTATCATAGCATTATCTTGTGACAAAGCCTCAACTCTGTGTCCCAGAAAAAAAAGATTAGCAATGAAGTTGTGGCTTGCGACGTATTTTGCTCAAAAAAATCTGAAATTTCCTTTCAAAAGACAGATAGAGAAGTCGAATGTAGGTGCACACAGGTGCTCAAGATCTTACAAAAAATCGAAGGATTCGATCTGATCCAGGAGTTAACTTGCATGGGAGAAGTCTACGATCCCATTCGAATTCTATTAATCGTTATTAGGTACCAACCTAATCATGTTACTGATGTTCCGTGAGAAGTACGACCCCTCGCTCTGTGATTTCACAGCGAAAACATTGCTTTCTGATCGTAAAGTTGTGATCGATTTAGTTCGTCGCTCATGTTTATGTTAACTACAGGGCGTCACCCGAAGAGAACGTAATGGGTAACGCCCTTCGTGACTCACACGCATTTGCGCTTTCTGGGTTCTTGAACATGTTGGATAGCGATAAAGCAAATATGATGAGTACTTAAAATCATCGTCTTCAAACCTGCTGAAACTAAATTATTAGCTGAAAAAAGCGGATCATTAGTATAAGTCAGAAGTGGGTATCAGCACTTACCACTATGTATTGGGAAAGCGATATGTCGATGTCTTTTCCGAGGTTAACGATTCGTGGGTGGTGGTGACGAGTCCAGATTTCGGGCTCTAGGGAGTGGGCTAGCTTTGAAAATTAAAGGCACAGTTCATGGCAATTCTGAAGTGTCAAGCTTAAGTGAAGCAATGGAAATTATGGTGCCCAATAGTGTAAAGGTGAGGGTGAATAGAGCACGAAAATGCGATTCCGCAAATTATAAGGTTCCAAAAAGCAATTAATAAGGGGTTGTACGAGATTATGACGACAGAAGCGGCAAGGAAGGTGCATGGACGGGATGTCAGTTGCCGCAATAGCGTAAAGAGCTGCCTAGAAGGATCGAGAATGCCAAAATTGTATTCACTGGGCGCAGTCATAGTATTGACGACGCAGTTCATTGGATAAAAAAACAACTCCTTCGAAAAAGAAAAATGGCGTATGTTTCCATATCCTTTATAAATGCGATGCCGTCTGTAACCATCTGGGTCTCCCACATAATCGTACTATTCGTCGGCATCTTTACGCGGCACTGTGATGATGTGCCCTTAACAAGGCCGTGATAACACGGCCACTTCTGGGTGGTACGTGCAAACGTGTTTTGAAGCCCTGTCTATTTGATTTTTCTTGACCCAACAATATTCCATGTACTATCCATAGCGGCCACAGGTTCATCCTGAAGAAAACCTTCAGAAACCTTTTACATTATGAACTTTGCTTTTAAACAGAGAAATAAAAAAAAAACTTCGAACCCACCCCTCGATCGATGGTAATTCAAAGCCGCCGAAACATTTGAATGCCTCTTCCATGTGTACTTTGAAGTCGTAGTTTTTCCCTATTAATGACATTCGGCATCGGAACGTTAATCCCAAGGTAACAAAAGGCCGCGGTGGCCCTAGCGATATTCAATGTTGCAGACCGCGTCAGAGTTACTCAGCGTCACAGCAGGGCCTCTCTGTCAACAGAATTAATGCTGTGGATTTGGTTTACTGTTGAGAACGACGTGTGAACACACTGTCAAAGTCACAGTAAGTCACGGTACAGTCAACATTGCAGAAGGCATTACTTTTCTACAAACGCTGTGTTGCCGCTGAGTCGCACATGCCTAGCTTGAAGGCAGTTTTCACGTACGGGTGCGCTTCGTTGCGCGCGTCTGTCAAAACTAGCCGTCGCATGAGGAGGGTCAGTCCGCGATTTTTGACGGTCGTTGCAGTTGTCAGTGGACGTACGTACGATTTGCGCTCGGTCCATGGCAGTCAGCCATAGAGAAGATAACACAGACAAATGCAAATCGCTCGCTCCACTGACACTTGGTGGTACTTTAAAGTCAACGAGACCTGAACGGGTGCGACGCGCGCGAAGTGGGCTGGGTGACCTACTTTCGTCGGACGCGTGCAACGGACGTTCCCCTTTACGTACAGAATAGGAAGCTATCCTCTGGATGTTCTGGGAGAGATAAAAGTCAAAATGAAATCGGCTCTATATCGTCTACGTCTGCTCCATGCATTAAGTAGACGACTTCAAAGAAAGTCGAGCGATATTAAAGGTCTGAAGCTCAAGCACAGTTCAATGAACTCGAAATTTAGGAACCGCCAAACGCAGCTATGCTAATCTTTGGGTTTATGTTGCTTTTAGAGGGTTATCAAGATTCCGCTAAGCCGTGCAACAGACGGCCCATAGGCCATTTACCGGCCTTTAGGGAGGTTGTGAACAAACACTTTTTCTTTATACTTGTCTGGAGCCTCCACGTACGGGCCTCTATAAACCTCGGCATTGTTGTAATTTGTTGTAGATTATTTTGATCTACTACAAAGTTATTATAGAAATCTTATTGGCTAACGTTCCAGCGATATCGCCTTCCTCAGAGCCTGAAAGGGATCAGAACAATTTGGGTATATCCGCAAAACGTCTCCGCAACCCCACGGAATTCGAGATCTCGCGAAACATGCACGTAGTCTCAGAAGGGCCCCTCACCGTAACATCGA